TTATCAATCACATAGTATTATACGACTTGAATGCCATTTACCTTTCCAGCAGACAGTGTACTTTCGAGAAGGCAATGAAGAACATGTAGCTTCATCACCAAAAGTTACAAAGCTAGAGGCATTCTTTACTCTGAACCAACAAGATCCTGCTGCTAATAATTTGTTGTATGTTGAGATTCCACAACATTATACCTGGCAAGATCAACAAAAAAAGTGGAAAACAAGACTGCGTGGAGCTGATAAAACCATCACACGTTTATACACAGTTAACCCAAAGAATGTTGAGCTATTTCATTTGCGTCTCCTTTTACTGCATGTACGAGGACCTAAATCCTTTGAAGATTTAAGGCTGCATGATGGAGTTGTTTTTCCAACTTTTTTTGAAGCAGCTTATTCCCGTGGAATTGCATCAAATGACGAGGAATGGCGTGAATGCTTAACCTAGGCTAAGGATTTTCAACATCCAAAACAATTGAGGCAACTGTTTGGCTTTATTTGTGGCATCAATGTTCCACCTAATGCTCTTGCACTTTGGAATGACTTTAAAACTTTTCTGTGTGAAGATTTCCTTAAATCTAATAATGAGGTGAATTCATTCAACATGTGTCTGTTAGAAATAGAAGAAATTCTAATTACTCACAATACATCATGTGAGTCACTTGGATTGCCCATTCCACTCAATTTACAATACGACAATGATGATAATCTATTTGATCTACTTAAACAAGATAGTTTATTTGAAGAAATGTACAAAGCAGCAAATGAAGAGCAACGTTTCGTCATTGATACAGTATTAAAAACTGTGCTATGTGATGAAGATAAAGAATCAAATGAGAAAGTGTTTTGCTTAACTGCACACGCTGGATGTGGGAAAACATTTGTTCCAAAAGCCATTTTAAGTAAATTGCGATCAATGCAGCATGATTGCATTTCATGTGCCTTTAGTGGTATAGCTGCCAGTTTGCTTGAAGGAGGAAGAACTCTCCATAATGTTTTTAAATTGCCCATCCCACTTTTAGAAAATGCTGTATCTGGCATCACAGCGAACAGCAGACATGCTATAAGGCTCCTCCAATCATCTTTAATAATTATTGATGAAGTTTCCATGTGTCCGATCTATGCCATACAAGTAATTGACAGATTACTTCGAGATATCGCCTCCAATGGTGACAAAGAAAAGTTATTTGGTGGAAAAACTGTCTTGCTTTGTGGAGATTTTCAGAAAACTTTGCCAGTTGTACCCCACTCTGGTCGCGCAGGAATAGTTGAGCTGTGTGAAATCCTGGCCATTTTGGTCTCAAATCATAAAAATGACGCTAACTCAAAACATGCGAGGCTTGCCAAGTGAACGTGAATTTATTAAATTTCTTAAGGAAATTGGCAATGGTACCCCTGATGATCTTATTGAGATACCAAACTTTCTGATCAGCTCTGCTTCTATCATTGATGAAATTTACGGTAATATTCCGGAAATTGTTCAAACTCCTGAGATAACAAATCGAGCAATATTGGCTCCGAAGAGTGAAGATTGCGAGGAGATTAATCACCAAGTTTTAAGAATGATGCCAGGTGAAGAAAGAACTTACATCAGTTGTGACTCAGTGGTTACTGACAACGAACATGAACAGACTCTCTATCCCACTGAATTTTTAAATAGCCTTTTAGTGAGTGGCTTACCTCCTCACAAACTCACATTGAAAGAAAATGCCATTGTTTTACAACACTTCAAAGGCACTTATTAATGGTACGAGAATGCGCGTCAAAAGGTTGCACCTGAACTGTTTAGATTGCGAAGTTTTAACAGGTGCTTCATCTGGACAGCGAATTTTGATTCCAAGAATAAATTTGAGAAGCTCTGGAACACTACTACTATTTATTTTAAACAGAATTCAATTTCCGGTGATTCTTGCTTTTGCTATGACAATAAATCACAAGGACAATCAATTAATAAGGTTGGTATTTACTTACCGCAACCAGTTTTTGCACATGGACAGTTGTATGTGGCTGCCAGTCGAGCCCGATCATTTGATGGCTTAAAGTTTTTTATTGCTGATACAGATGAGCAAGAACATTTAAAAAATGATCAGAGAGTCTTTACATAAAATATAGTTTATAAAGAACTTTTGTGAACAAAACTATTTTGTTTTATGTTTAATACCCATCGGAAGTAGGCAAGGAGACCTTCCAGAATCAAAACTCCCCATGAGAAATGAGATATGGCGATCGCGGTATTTCTCGGGTAATGCTAACAGCCATACATTTAAATTTAACAATTAGGTATAACACATTTTATTCAAAATGGACTCAAATCATTAAAATGATACTCACCCAAAACACTTGAGCCTTGCCAAGTGAACATAAATTTACTGAATTTCTTCACAAAATTGACAATGATACCTCTGGTGATCTTAAAGCCATCATTGATGAAATTTACCGTTATATTCCAGAAATTGCTCAAACTTCTGATAACAAATCGAGCAATATTGCCTCCGATGAATGAAGATTGCGAAGAAATCAAATCCAAACTTTTAAAAGATTGATGCCCGATAAAGAGAGACTATCCATCAGTTATGATTTGGTGGTTACAGACAATGATCACGAGCAAACGCTTTATCCCTCTGAATTTTTAAATAGTCTTTCTGTGGGTGACTAGTGTATACATTATTACCTAACTTTCAGTTAGTATTATTAAAATATTTTATTTTTGATGTTTTAGCATTAAAGTAAACAAAATATGTAATTTCAAAGCAAACGATCCTTTTCTTTTGCTTTCTTTAAACAGATATATAATTAATACCTTTAATTATATTTCTGCCCAAGTTCCATACAATTAAAATATTTAATTTAAGCTTTTTTTTTGTTGATAAAACTAAGGAAATTTTGATGAATTATTTCCCTAGCACAATTTATTATTTCCCAGGATAATACGAAACTGTACTGTTTTTCAGGTACAAGTTATTGTCAATATTCTAATTAAAAAATATTTGTCATGAGTTTTTCCAAGTACAATTTGCTGTTTCTGCATCTTTTATTGAACTAAATATGTAAATTCAAAACAATTACTTATTACTTTTATTTATATACTTTCATCAATATATATTTGCCTCAGTTTCTGTTCATTTTATAAAACTAAAATAATTAATTTAGATTTAATTTTAAAAAAAATGTTGTTGAACTGTTTTTTTGGTAAAATTTTTTAATATTTCAGCCTCATAAATTTAATCTTGAATTACTGACATTATTTGATATTGTTTTTGCTTATTTTTTGAAGTTAGGGCATAAGTTAATACAACGTAAATAATTATTACACTCTAACTAAATTTGTGTTAAATGTATAAAATGAAAAGAATTTATTTGAATTTTTACTTAAAATTAAAGAAATGTTGGTCCAATTAGAACAATTATGAATTAATATAATTGTAAACAAATCTTCATTTCAGTAAAATAATTAGTGCCATTTACTATTAATCTCAGCTGAAGTTCAGTTTTTAACAGCTTGATTAACTAAGAGTTTCTGAAGCCACATATAATTTTAAATACAGATAAGATGATTATTATATTTTATTACAGGTCTCGACGATGTCTTTGAACCCAAGTGGGTGTACTATAAAGAGCTGATGTTTCTAAAACCACCGTTCCTCGTGACAATAGGAATAATTTAAAGGTTCGTATAGAAATAATATTTTATCTTTAAAATTAGGCAATATGTTATTGCTTGAAACCCAATAAAATATTTGATTTACATCTCTAGTTTAAAACTATGAAATTAATATATATATATATTTTTACTTAATTACAGCATAACTGTTGAAATTAAATAAAAAAATTACTAATATATCGTTATTAGTCCTATAATTTCTCACTGTTGATTTTTTAACTTAAACTGTAAAGTCATCCATGAGGAAAGCAGATTGTTTTGTTATGATGTTCGGGGGAGAATGTTATTAATCCTATTGATTTCAATTATATAAAAATTTCGTTGGGAATCTCTTATAAGGATTTTTCTTCACGAAACCACATGATACCTTCTAACATTGTATTGCAAAATTTGGAGGTACTTATATCTGAAAAAACACATTTCAGTTTCAATTGATGAAGCCTATATAAATCATGGCAAGTCAAAAGTTATTAAATTTAAGTGAAATCAACATTATTTGCAAATTTCCTTGTAAGTTAAATTATTGCTCCTTTAAACCTAAAAACACTATTAATAATTTCCGTAGAAGCACATTGATAAGTTACTTTAAAAGTCACATGAAGCTTTATTTCCTTACAGCAAAAACAAAGAAATTGCGAAAAAATTCGAAGATGACTCCACGGATGAAGATCCCTATTTGGAGAATAATCTTAACTCTACAAACACCACGCCAACCTAGCAACGAAAAAGAAAGTTCACGCAGGAGGGAGATTTAATGGTTGCAGCAACAGCAGCCATTAACAATGTTGCCAGAAAAGACGGTTTGGACTGTTTCGGCTCGTACATCGCAGGGGAGTTAAGAACTTTGTCACCAAGGAGCTGGAATTCGCTTATGGAATTAAAAAAAAATTAAATGATTTATTTAAATTCAGTTTTTTTCCCATCATTTTAACCAGAAATCATACAATATCAACATTTCTTATTGCACCGGTTGTTAGATATCATTAATTTTCAGAAAAATAATGTATTGCAGACAACAAATTTAAAACAAATACCTTTATTAATACTAAAAAAACTATATAAAAAAATCAAACATCTAAATAATTGCAAATCAGGGTAAAAGAAATGAAAAACATATAAACACTTTAAAATAGACTGTTAATACATTTGCAATTAAACAAAAGATCACAGTGTGTCAACTATATTTACATTTTGCCTATTTTTTGAAGTTAGGGCAACTAAATTTTTAATACGCTTATGGAATTCAAAAAAGATTAAATTCAGTTTTTTCCCCATCATTTTAACCAGAAATCATACAATATCAACATTTTGTATTGCCCTGGTTGTTGAATATCATTAATTTTCAGAAAAATAATGAATTGCAGACAACAAATTAAAAACAAATATCTTTATTAATGATGAATACGAAAAGTCAATATTAAAAAAAAATATCGACCATTTTATTAATTGCAAATCAGGATAAAAGAAATGAAAAAACATATAAACATTTTAAAAAAGACAGATGATAGTGTGCTCAACTGTTAATGGAACAAAAGAGGCAAAGAACAAAATTAAAGCTGGATAGGATACAAAACTTAACAATTTAACATACTTTATTAAGAATTATTTTCAGAATGCTTCAGTATTACTTTTTATTTCATAATGCTAGAAATTAATTAAAAAAAGAATTAATTGAGAATTATTTTTAGAATCTTTATACCTAACTGCTCAAAAAAGGAAAGAAAATTTATTTTTTAAACTTGAACATAGCTATGCTGGCATTAGAGAATATAATGTACCTAACGTTTTAAATAATTGAAATTTATGTAGAAAAATTTATGTAGGTTAAATGTAAATAAAAATATATGAATACAGAATCGATTAATTAAACTGAATTTAATAACTGAATTTAACTGACATAAAATTGGAATAAAAAATAAGATTTTAAATTATGAATCTGTCTTGCCATGGCACTTTGCCAGCACCGTTGAGGTAAGAACAAAGAATTAAGCATTAAGAGATGAAAGGGAAGAACTTTGCCTTGCGACACCTCTAATTCCAGCATAGCTATGATCAGACCAGGGAGCCAGATTAATTGCTCCTTCCTGAGTGTTCTCTCGATTAAAAAAGTCAGGCAGAGAGTACCTGCTGGCAGAAGATGTGTTTCTTAAATAATTGCCAGCACGATACTCTCAACTTTTTTAATATCGAGAGGGTTGACTCGTTGAAGGACTTCGAATCTGGCAGATAAGATGCCAAATGCATTTCCGACAGTCCTTCTAGCCCTACTCAAACGGTAATTGAATATCCTTTTTGTTCGCGTTAAATCCCGGCTTCATCAAGTACGATTTAAGTGGGAAAGCCTCATCTGCGACCATCACAAATGGGGTTTCGCTATCATTCAATTGATTCAATAGCCTAGTAGGGCCTGGCACACAAAGTGCCCTGTTTTCAAGAGCACTAAATAGAGTTGATTTAGAAAATATGGTGCTATCTGCCACCCTGCCATTTGTGCCCACATCTATATACAAAAAATTACAATTGGCATCAACTATGGCAAATAGCACAATGCTGTTGCACATCTTATAATTGAAAAGCTGGGAGCCATATTTGCGCTTATGCCGCATCAGAATATGCTTTCCATCTAGGGAGTCAAAGCAATTTGGAAAGTTCCACTTTTCCTCGAATTCCTTCGCAATGGCAACCCACTCTTCTTCAGTTGATGGAGCCTAAAATATGAAAGCTTTATATAAGTTATACTATAAGGCAAAATAAATAAATATATTGTTAAGTTTTATCAATAATTAGGATGTTCACTCTTCAGGAGGATCCGAAATCTCTTGGGAGTAACATTGCAAGCTTTCTTGATCTAAATTAACAAATTTTTAGAAATAATGCTAAAATCTGCATGCAGAACATAACACAAATGAAGAACTTGTATTATATGGTAATAAATCTATTAATAAATCTATTAATATTTATATTTAAATCTTAATATAAATAAAATGATGAAAATCAATGGCGAAATATATTAATTGGAAAACATATATATATACTGAAAACTGATGTAAATAGTTACGTTAAAATTTAAGTGAAAGCAAAAACAGTTCTGCTACATTAAACATACCCGTATTTATTCAACCAATTTTTTTTTTACTCTCATTAATTCCCCTTAAAATATCACTAATCTGGATCTTCCAAGTTCTTTAATTGTGCCGGTATATGATTTTCAATTTATTTTCATGATTTTGTAGTGTTTCACAATACTAATTCTTCGATTATTTTATTTATTTTTAAATAATCCCGTGCAAAGAAAGGGTATGCAGCTAGTATTCTAAAAAAAAATATAGAGAAGTATGACAATAAACTATTGAAAAAACGCTCAACACCATGGATCAAATAGAACATGCCAAATAGTTACTCAAATTTTGCAAGTCATATCTTCTTGAAATTGAATCTAAGTTCCATTTTGCTTTTGTAAATCTGCGAAAGATGCAAAATTTAATTTCTAGATCAGCAGAAAATCGAAATGAGATTGATTTACTCAATTTCATCTCAATATTTGATTTTTAGAATTTCACAAATGAACTATTTGCAGAATTCCACAAATTCGCTGAAAAATCCTGCTATATACTTTTTATTTTTCTTCTCAGAGTATTACCTTTCTGTCAGTTACTGTTGTACAGAGTAATCGACAATAGAATTGCACAATGGGCTATTTGTGTCAGTCTGGGAAACATTCCCAAGCAAGGTCCGGTGATATGCCATCAAACTAATTATTTATTTAAATAAAATAACAAAAGTTTACACTCACTTGAATATAATCCTGTAATGCAGCATAAATTGCTTCACATGTCTCAGGAATAAAATTGGACAATGTCGATTTATCAATTCGAAATAAAAACATCAAGGAGGAATAGAGTCGCCTGTGAAAAAATAATCAAGTGAAAAAAAAAAAAAAAACAGTATCTATAGTGTGAAAAGAATATATAAATCGAATAGAGTAATTCTTTTACAAACTAGAGAATTGAGTGCTCTATTTTTTTCATAAGCAGAACTTTGTAAATATCAAGATTACATTATATTCTAAGAAATTAAATCACACTTAACATAAATCTTTCCTTATTTCATTAAATAGAAATCCTGCATGCACAGTCAAGCAAACTTTAATAAAAGAGGATATTCTCACACATTATATCATTTGCTTCTCATAAATCTTAGGTTAAACAACACATCAATAAAAAAAGTAAGCTAAATCAATGGATAATTCATTAACTAACGGAAAATTAAGAAAACAATTGATTTTTCTTTTCATTAACAGAATCTTGTTTTAAACATTCAGATAGCTATTAAGAACTAGAAAATGGAATTTCATAGAAAATATATACTTTTATTTAATAAAAATCCTGAAAGAATAATCAAACAGAAAGATCTCCATTAATTCATGATACTGAAAATTTCCTTCATGTTTTTAAGCTTATAAAAATTAAAAAAAAAATTAGATTTCCCACTGTGGTGCTAAGTTGATCTTCTGGGATTTAGTTTCACTCAAAGCTTTAAAATAGTTGAATAAACTACACAATATACACTATTCTTAAGTTCAACAGAATTCTTAATAATTTTTGTTGGATTAATGAGATTCGTGGTAACTTATGAATAAAAAAATTCTGTCGATACTTACCTGATGCTAAATATCGAAACGTCTCAGCAGCAGGAATGCTGTCTCTCATGATAGTATTTTATTTGGAAATCATGGGGGAAACCTTCGCCAACAAGAAAAGAAAACTCTTTTCATCCATCCGGACAAAATTTCTGAAGGCGCCCGGATCCTCTAATTTCAATTCAGCCATTAAAGAACGATAAGCACCCATTTTATTGCGAGGCAGTAACCAATCTTTAGACCAATTAGATCTTTTTTTTCTCTTTTTTTTCATAGTTGAAGCCGCAACAACAGCCATAATTGTAGCGTAAAGCGCAATGAGCGGAAAGGCAAAATATTTTTTAAGACAACAGAAGCAAGATATAACAAAAATTGACGGAATTCCGTTGCCTTCCATCTATCAACATCCCTCAAGGATCGAGGTTTTCGACTGAATTCAGAAGGCATGCAATCAGCAAAGGAAACAATCCTTTCAGAGATTTCTTCTATTTGTTTTGAACTGATTCTTATGCTATCAACATTTTTTCGATCACCATTTCTTATCCAGTACAAGATCAATTTTCTCACAACACCCAAGTCAACAAGATGCATACAATCTAATGGAAACTGCGTTAACATGCCTAAATTTAATTTTAATGAAGGTGAGCTTGTAACGTGATGTTTAAATTGTTTCAAATTTGCAAAATCTTCGTCTGTTCGCTTTTCACTGGTCAATTCTAGAAACTTTACATGACCTGCAACACTTTTTCCTTTTTGGACGCATTTTTCGCAACCCCAATTTTTCCAACCCGAGTTATGATTTTTAATGCCTTTTATAAAAACTCTAGCAGGAGCATCACAATTAAAATGCTTAATTGAAAATGAATATTTTATATAATTTTGTATAAAACCAACAGAAGACAAGTAATTTACTTCAGAAACGAAGTCTTCCAGAAATCCGTCTAAAGATTTTGGCTTTGTACTCCCACTATGGCAGGCTAAGGAGATATCTGGATTTCTAAAATTATAAGGCCTAAAATTGGCCAAAACTGATGGCCTGTGCTTTTTGTTAAAGGTAAACCATCGACATGTACTCTTAATTGGATATCTCTATTGAGACAAATTGATTGTAAATTAATTTTTTCAAAATATTTTTGTAATCCGAAATAAAAAAAACTCCCCTTCCTTAGATTTTTTTAATATTCGTCTCCCGACACGTTTTAAGTAATGCTCGACTGTCCCGAGGCAATTCAGGATGATGGTCTTTCAAAATGTTCAGCAAAGCGGTAAGACATAGTGCTTTATATTAAAGCGAACAGCCCAAAAACTGAGCTTATCACTTAACTTCTCTGAAGTATCAGGAACATCCTCAATATGCCCTAAAGGTTCTTGCCCTGAAATGAAATCAAGGTGCCCTAAAGGTTCTTGTCTTGATATACAATCAAGAGAACTATCCTCACAGGGCAAATTAAATACTGGCTGTAAGAAACATTGAACAGATTCTGGTGTAGGGATATTATCCAATTGGCCATCATCATTTAAGCCCGATGTAGAAGTACTTTCAGCATCCCTAAAAAAGAAAAACTTAAGTAGGAAAAAAATAAAAACAAATTAGTAACATAAAATTTAAAAAATACACAACCCTAAAGCTATATTACTAAAATACACAGGTATATTCTGCAAGTACAGTCATACTACAAGCTATGATATGTATACAAATTCAAACTATCGCCAAATCAAAATTACAGCTTTTTAAATTTATTTTAAAACAATGTCAACCCGAAAATATGCTTCTGGTAGTTTTAGAAAAAGAAAGAGAGAAGAGAAAGAAATGAGAAATGTAAGTCTTTTGAAGACAATGAAACCGTTAAATAATTTTTTTTCTGCTGCAAAACTCGCCAACATTGAGGAACAATCTGCCTTAATAGACAAAACTTGTGTTGAAGAAAATAGTTTTAGAGATAATTTGAAAGAAATCTGTGTGGAAGAAATCAAATCTATCTAAAGAAATCAAATCTTCATTTAAATAAACCAGATCAAACTTTAAATGAAAATGAAACGGCAACTGTATCTTCAGACGAAAGATTGCCAACCTCTTTAACCCACAATTCAAAGGTCATTTCAAATCCTGCCACCTCGTCTTCTCTAGATTTACTTGAGGTGTTCGATAGTGATCCTGCAATTTGGACCACAGTAACAAAAAAACTGAAGGAACATTTTGCTCGCAGTCCACCTAACCAAAACATTGCTGGTTTAAAATATTCTGTCCGTTTATTTGCACAGAAAACAACTTTTCACACAAAAAGAGAAATGGCTGGTGTATTCTCCGACTGTCAATGCTGGTTTTTGTTATGTGTGTAAATTGTTTGGCAATAACAGCGATTACTTAAGCAGTTGTGGTTTTACAGAATGGCACAATGTAAGTAAAAGGTTATGCTCTCATGAGACATCTTTTGCTCACAGGAAGGCTATAAACACTATGGTTCAGTTACGTTTAACTTCTGGTCGGATTGATAACAAAATAATGAGCAAAATGAAAGTGAAAAAATGTACTGGAGGAAAGAACTTTTCAGAGTTGTAGAAACTTTAAAAAGTTTACTTCAGTACGTGGGTTGGCAATTTTTGGTGATGATGAAACCTTTAGCTCTAACAAAAATGGCAACTTTTTGGGAATTTTAGAGCTTATAAGCAAATTTGATCCTTTTTTAAAGAAACACCTGAAAAACTATTGAAATAAAGGTAAAGGACATGTTAATTATTTATCGTCCACCACAGTTGATGAAATAATTCAAATTATGGCAAAACAAGTGCTAGATAAAATTGTTTCTGAAATAAATAAAACAAAGTACTTTGGAATCGTAGTTGATTTTTCCCCAATTACACACATTGATCAGATGTGTATTGTTGTGCTATATTTAGATGCGCAAAATGAACCTATTGAACGTTTCTTAACTGTTGTTGCCATACATAGCCATGCTGCAGAGCACCTGCATGATACAATTATGCGATTTTTAACAAATCTAACCATTAACTTGCAAGACTGCAGGGGGCAGTCATATGATAATGCTAGTAATATGGTTGGTAAGTACTTTGGCTTACAATCCAGATTAAAAAATAGAGTGCCCTTTGGCTGAGTTTGTGCCCTGCACAGCTCACTCACTAAAATTGGTAGGAGTGAATGCTGCAGAATCATGTGAAGCAGCTGTTTCCTACTTTGGTTTTGTGCAAGCACTATATAATTTTTTTTCAGCTTCCCCTCACAGGTGGGAGTTTTTTACTTCTAAATTCGAACAAAAAGATTTTCTTACTCTCAAATCTTTATCGTGTACAAGGTGGTCAGCAAGTGCTGCTGCCGTCAGGGCCTTAAGAAAAGGATATGCAGTTGTAATAAAGACATTGGAAGATGTCGCTAAAAATTCTAATGAAAAAGCTTCGACGAAACATGAAGCTAAATGTTTACTTAAGAAATGCCAAACTTTTGAAATTGCATTAATAACCATTATTTGGGATACGTTACTGCAGCGTATAAATGCTACAAGTAAAACTTTGCAGGCTCAAAATTGTACCTTTGAAGTGATAATCCCACTCTATGAATCCTTAGAAGGATTTATTCAGAATGTGAGAGTAAACTTTAGTTCTTATGAAAAGGAAGCTGAAAATCTTGTGGGAAATATTTCTTATAAAACCTCAAGAGTTCTTCGAATACCAAAGGCTTTAGATGATAGCACCAGTGAAAGTGTGAATTTGTCCCCAAGAGAAAATTTTTTAACTCAGACACACTATGTCATTTGTGACAATTTGAAATTTCATTTTAGTGAAAGAAAAAAAGCTTACAGCTTTCTCGAAAGAAGGTTTGGATTTCTAACCAATAAGAAACCAGTATGCTTGGAAACAGTAAAGCCATTTCAGGAAGCATACTTTGAAGATGTTGATGGACTTTTTGACTGATAAGTCAAACCCAACTGAAATATTAAAGACTATACGAATGCTACAGATAGAAGACACATATCCCAATATTGAAGTAGTGTTAAGGATATTCTTATCTATTCCTGTGTCAAACTGTTCAGGAGAGAGATCATTTTCTTTAATGAAAAGAATTAAGAATCGACTTCGTTCAAGAATGACAAGTCGCAGACTATGTGACTTAGCACTAATGTCAATGGAGTGTGATTTGACAGAAAGTCTAAAATTTGAAGATATCTTAAACGATTTCAACAGTAAATCAAGAAAAAAACTTATATAATAAGAAAAAAATTATATTGTACCAATTATTACATAAGTTTACTGTATTTTGTGTACAAATTTACTGTAAAATTGAAGTCCATAATCCCTATTCCCGAGAAGCTTCCTCAAAATGGCTCCATTGACTGTTTATTATTGATTGGACAGTTCTATAATTTATCTTCAGTAACACTACTTATAAAATATTGCAGATTTTTTAATTAACAATTTATATAAATATATTTCATATAGGTTTCCAAGTTTTTGGTAACTTTTTACTCTAAAAATCAAGTTTTCTATTCAGCTTCCTGGAAATGCTGATTACTGATTCTTTATTATTGAAATATAATTTCTATCGTGACTTTTTCACTGTTAAAATTATGTATTAAATTTATTTGTTTATGGTCACGTTTTGAACTTTTTATACTCTATTTGTATGAATTAAATTAAAATTTAACTGTTTTATTTTTATATGGATATACATATACACTGGTGAGCAAAACTTAAGCAACAAGTGGTTTTTCGGCCACAGCTCCCCAATGAAGTATAAGATAGCCATGAAATTGCAGTATAATATGCACGTAATTCAGTAGAAAGATTATTTGTATGCAAATTTTAGAAATAAAACGTCGTAGGTGCGTAGGTGATGTAAGTGTACGTAAACCTTGTGGGTCGGCGCGCGCAGGTCAAAGCTGTGATAAAAAGATGAAGAGCACCGTAGTTAAAGACATTCGCTGCATGTGCAAGTGATTTGTTTTGGGAAACATGTCTTCAAGAAATCATTTAGACGACTTTACTCGAAGAAGAATGATTGGGAAGCTTGAGGAGGGGCGTAGTGTGACTAGTGTCGCCGAAGAGTTCGGGATCAACAAAAGTGTTGTTTCTCGTGCTTGAAATGCCTTTAAAACTACTGATACAGCTGTTCGGAAGGTTGGTGGTGGCCGACACACAGACAAAACAACACCAAGAGATGACCGTTACATTGTCCTCCAGGTGAAAAGAAACCGTTTTCAGTCAGCGAGCGCCATATCTCAGCAACTGTGCACAGCCACAGGACGACAAGTATCAAGATTTGCAGTGGCCAGACGCCTCCACAAAGGTAGCTTATTTGCTAGACGCCCTGAACGCTGCATACCTTTAAAAGTTAGCCATCGGCGGCACCGTTTGGAGTGGTGCAGAGAACACGAAACCTGGACACCTCATCAATGGAGTCGCGTCCTCTTCACAGATGAGAGTCGTTTTAGTGCTACAAGCGATTCTCAACGTCAGTTGATCTGGAGAGAGGTTGGAGCTCGATTTCATCCCAATAACATCGCGGAAAGAGATCGTTACGGTGGTCCTGGAGTTGTCGTCTGGGGTGGCATTATGTTGAACGGGCGGACTGAGCTTCAGATCTTCGACCGAGGTTCTGTAACTGGAGACCGCTACTGCAATGAGGTAATCCTACCCCATGTGCGTCTGTTCCGAGGGGCCATTGGACCAGACTTCATTTTTATGGATGACAATGCCCGGCCACACCGTACTGCTAATGTTCAAGAGCTACTGGAAAGTGAAGATATCACACGAATGGATTGGCCAGCTTACTCTCCAGATCTAAATCCCATAGAGCATGTGTGGGATGCATTAGCGAGACGTCTTGCGACACGACAGTATCCTCCTGGTAACACCCATCAGCTGAAAGATGCGTTAAAGGAGGAATGGAGACGTTTACCCCAAGAACTCTTGTATAATCTGGTGCTTAGCATGGAGAGACGATGCCAAGCAACAATTACAGTAAGGGGAGAGCATATCCCATACTAGGGAAAATCTGCCAGTTGTACTTACGCTTCTTCATGCAATCATGTGTAACGTCACTATATGTCAAATAAAGCCTTTTTTTGTTCCATATCCTACTTTAAGCTTTATATTCATTTCTGCGCCCTTATTCTTTTACCATCGTTTAAGTGCAAAATAATGTACATCATATTCAAATTTCATGTCAATCGGATGATTTCTTGTAGAGTTATGACAAAAAACGCACTTGTTGCTCAAGTTTTGCACACCAGTGTAGATAATTAATATCTGCCTATTTTGAAATTACAATTATTCATTTATATATCTCTTCTTACTTATGTATATTTAAGATCAACTTTTTAAAAGAGGGTTTTTAATTAATTTAAGATCAGATTCATCGGGGCCCCCGATAGTCTAGTGCCTACAGTCCCCAATTTTCTAGATCTGTCCCTGATTATGATGATTATTTACAAAATGCAAAGAAGGGAATAATATGTGCGTTCCATCCTTAACAAAATGCGAGAATATTACCCATAATATTAAACTACGACTTATTACATGTTTAATTAAAAAAATTATATAGTTTTTTTGCGAATACAGCACTTTTATTATTTTAAATTAGTAACATATATGTTTATTATTAAAAGTACTTTGAAGAAAGATTTTAGTGCATATGGCTCTTAGGCATCCATCGGAAGGGAATTGAATTGAATTGAATGTTGGGTTTAATGGCACAAAGTCCACAGAAGGACATGCTGAGACAAACAAACGGTTTTAAAATAAAATACTAGGTAGATGTATACTACAAGTTTTTTCCATCAAAAATCACACGGAATTTATAAAACTGAATACAACGAAACCAACGCATTCAAAAGTCAGTTAAACAAGATAAAATTTAAATGTAGGTAAGTATCATAAAACAGTTGCATTCAAAGCTGAATAAAATCACATAACAATGTAAATAGGATAAAACAGTTATATACAGTATAAGAGACCAATTGCGCGTAGAAACGCAAAAATGTTAGGATGATGGCACAGTCATCTAACAAATCCTGCAGTGTTAAAATAGAACTACCAAAAAAGGTTAGACGATGACGGTTAAAACATGGGGCAATAAATTAAAATGTGATGGATTGTGAGTAAAACGTTGCAAGTATTGCAGTGAGGAGAAGGTTCACCAAACAGCAAGTGAAATCCATCGGAAGGGAAAGAAATGCAAGTAAGTTTCTTGTTCTCATGTGAGAATTAAAATAAATATTCGGCAATAACTAGGTTGCATCACCTGGAATTTCAAAATTACAAAATAAAGAATACAAAATTTAATATTATAACTAAATTTATACTTCATAATTAACTAGATGTAAAGAATTATAAAGAACTACTTAGTACTGATTTAATTAACAATAAAAACTTGATAGTAGATATGAAAAACAAATCGGATATGCTTAACAAATCAATTCAACAAATTGGATATGCTTAATTTTATTCCACTTCATATAAATACCCTAATCTTGTAATTTTTTTAACGGAAAAATTAGGCTGGAAAATAATAAAAACTGAAAAGCTAATAAATTGTAAATCATCTCACACTGAAATGAATATTTCTTACATAAAAAAGTTTTGTATAAAATTACATAACGTAAAGTGATATATATAATAAAAACTAACATACTTGCAAACATGGATGACTTTACTTGCTTCTACAAGTTCGTGTAATTCGGCTTCACATTCAATGGATTGCATGATCCTACTTAATTTTCTTTTTTTTAAAATTATAATCTTTTTGTTTACGCTTACCGTCCATGATTCCTCTAGGCCTAACATTTTCTTGATCCTTAAAAAATAATCACTATCAGAAATTTCAAGCACGACTCAATACACGACGACAAACTAAATACACGACCAAGCTGAGATTCTCTATCACGTGACAAGCATTCATATCGATATACTTCGTCGATTACACTATCGAGTTCGTTTCACGTTCCAATCCCGTTCCATATCGTTTTCACGGAGTTCTATTTTTTATTTTCACTAATATGAGCAAGTATAAAGAAATTTTACTTATTTTTATCTTTCTAACAATTATTTTGAACTTTAAAACTAAAATATATTTAAAATGGAGTGTTTTAAGAAAAATACTTTCAAAGTTTCATTGACGGAATTAATTCAATAACTTGCTCACAGTATCTATATTTCTCCGCTTTTAAAATATTGATAGGAACGGCCATGGTATAGATTGATGTTTCTGTGCTACTTGGGTCGTCACTCATCTTATATAAAATGAATAAAAGTAATATTACAACTATATTATTTAGGGGTAGCGATTTCAACAGCTTCAAAAGCTTTAACTTGTAAATAAAAACCAAAACATGAGCTATTTAAGTGCATGCGCAATTTTTTTAATCCGACCAATCAGTGATATTCAAAAACTTGGATAGTGTCAACGAATCATCCAACTTCTTGGACAGAGAAATCCGTCCAATTTCTCGGATGCAAGAAATTGAACCGTGTAAACAGACCTTTAAGTTGGACGGTTTCATGGTTTCTTTGGTGAGTTTTCAAGACAAATGTCGCAAAGTGGAATAGACTCATTTTCATGGACTAGAGTCCATGAGAATCCAAACTGAAGATATTCTTCGTCATGCTTGCGGGTTTTCTTCACAGGTTCTTTCAGTTGTTTGCTACCAGCTATCCATATTCTATGTTAGGGACAAAAAATTATATTTTATAAAAATAATCAAATAAGTAGAACCTTTACAAATAAAAAATTGCACAAAAGTTAAAAATCACTACTGGCTGTTGACACTAATTATTAACTCTGCAAAAGATAGCCAATAAAAAAATACGTAATCGTAAAGTTTCATGGCTAGCTTTGTTTTTAAAAAAAATTTTTTTTTTGAAATATTTGTTTGTTGCAAGATATTTCGCATAAGAACGCGTACCCCTGGGGGTACGCGTACCACACTTTGGGAAACACTGTGCTAAGCAATAGTATGTATATTAGATTTGGCAAAGAAACAATGCTTAAAAAAATGACTTAGAGACACATCTCATTGTAACTTAATACCTTACTTCAAAGACATCATCAGATTTTATAATTCGATTTAGTTCAAATTTTAATGCATTGACCAGTTTTTACCTACATTGATTTTGGCAAAAATACTTTAGTTTTAATTTGGTTGTTTTGATTTCAACAAAGTTACATAAATTCGGACTGAGTGTTTAAATTTTAAACAGGTTACACGAACTTTTAACCTAGTTTTAGGCGCGGCATATTCAAATCATGGCTCCTGCTCCAAAAATTAGCATCACTCACTTAAAAAAAAATTGAAAAAGAATATTAATTTCTGTTGAACTCAATGAGCTGAAGTAAAAATAAAGTCTGCTTACAGAAAGACATTTTAGGAATAGCCGAAAAATTAAAGAAAAAAAAAATTCTAACTGGCACATTTAAACATAAAATTAAGGTTAAAACTGAAGAAACGCAAAATTGTTCTTAATTATTTTATTTTTTAATTTGTATTTTTATTAATACCAAATGAAAAAATATTGCATATTTTCATATTACTATTTCTATTCTATAGATTCACAAGAATTAGTATTATTAGATTTATGGTAAGAACAATCATAAATTTTAAAATTGAGTAATTGCATTTTGAGAAACTAAAAGAGTTGATGAAAAAATTGAGAAGCGTTCAGCATTGCTTTTAAGGGGCCCTAGATCTGTTTATATCTAGGGGCATCTTTTTAACAATTAATAACTTGCCTAACCCACATATATTTTTCTCAAAACGGAGCCGCACCCGAATGCTTCAGTTGTAAGGAATCTGTTACAGTAAGAGATACAATGATCGATGACACGTAGAGTATATATGCATTTATTGAGATAATTTTTCTTTTAGTATTTTATTTCAATCATTCTTACACACGGTTTTTTTTACATTTCAGAAAAAAAAAATTCTAATTAAATTCGCTGTTCTAAGAGGCCACAAAAGAACTCATGGTTCACGTCCGCTTTTCCCAATCTTTAAAAACTGCCCTAGAAACACTGGATTAAAAGTTTGCCAAATTTTAATATTCTCTCACAATAATTGCTTTAAAAAAACAACAACATTTGTAATTCTGAAAAAGTATTTACTCCTAAGTATAATTTTATGCAACATACCACGATCGATGACGCGTACAGAACATATGCATCTTGTTGAGCCTATATTATATTTCTTTTAGTATTTCATCAAAATCTTTCTTACGCACGCTTTTTTTTAAACATATTACTAAAGGTACATATTTCTGGAAGAAGAAAAAAACTGAAATCAAATTTTCAGTTCTTAGGGGCCACATTGTAACTCGGGATCCAGGCCCATTTTTCTCAGCCTTAAAAACAGCCCGAGAAACTCTGAATTAAAAGTTACCAAATGTTAATAAAAATAATGCAACGTTTTAACTATCTTAAAATTAATAGACTTATTTCATTTCATTGTGTCTAACTTCCCAAGGGATTTAAATATTGCAGCCATCATTTTTATCTGTCACATTCGAGACATTTAGTAACATACATAAACATAGCTCAATGCGTGGCGAAATAATTGAACAATGAACGAAAACTGTTAATTAATTGAATAATTCTTAAGTTGTCTTTTTCTTAATAGAATTTCCGCCCAGACACCCGCAAATTGTGAGCGAGCCCCGGAATAACAGCTGCCAGCGCCACCTATTACTCCAATCCTTTTTCCAGGAGATGAGATTCCCATTTACCGCGAAGCAGAGCCGCTTATCCTATTTTAGGAGGCATCCACATGAGCCTGAATGCGCGGCTGTACGGGAAAAAGGATTACTATTAATCTTTAACTTAGTGGAAATTGAAAGACGTAAATGTAACTGTTGCTTCGTTCCACAGTACCTCATTTTATATGTAGCTGGTAGATGGGAAAAGATATTCATTTTCTCAAGTAAAAGAAGTATGTTTGTTTTACTTTGATTTGATGTTTTATTCTTGAATGATCGATGCGATTTGAAAAGCGGGAGATATAAATAATGAAAATTATAATTAATTCAACTGCGATGCTTCATAAAGTATTATTAAATGCATTGCTACAATTATTTACAATGACAAGTACTACGCGTATAAACAAACAAGAAAACGTAGTTTATTTTTAACATGTTATATTGCTTAAGTAACTGGGAAAAAGAAGGAAATATATACGTATTAAAAATCACACTAATAAATTAAGAGGGATTAAATATATGTATTTCAGCGAATGAAAGTAAAAAATATTTGTTTGGCTCTTATATTTTTAATACCCGTAATGATTTGGAAAAGGAAGAAAGAGTAAAAAATATTTACAGTTAAATGTTTTATTTGGTTTGTGGGAGAAGGGGAGGATAAATGGGCATCTATTTAAATTATATTTGATTTTATTTAAATACTTTGAATTTAAATGAAGTAAAACAAATATCCTGTTATTATAAATATTATTAATCATCTAATTAATATAAAATTAAAATGATCTAAGTAAGAAATGTGTAACAATGTATGTGTATGATGTAACATTGAAAAATATATGTAAACTACCCTATAATAATGAAAGTAATACTTTTAGTTTCTGATTTTTTTTCTCTCTCAAAATTTCACAATAATTAGGGAATTATTTTTTGCTCTTAGATGAGTTTAGAGCATGTGATTACTCTATCAATAAAGTTTAAAGCTTTGAAATATTTTAGGTACCAGCAATAAATTACGAACGGTGCTTTATGGCAGAAAATATAGCAATCAACTTGTATTGATTACTTTGGTTATTATATGCAATAACTACATACAATTTCTTAAATTGAGCTTATATATCCATAAAGATAGACGTTAAAAAATATGTTTATTTTCTACCATAACTAAAAAAGTACAATAAATATACATTTTTGGAGCAATTTTTAAAAAATAAAAAAATTAAAATATAAATAAAAACATTTAATTTTTTTCCCTTCATAATTCTGCTGTGAATCGTAAGTGGTAACTAATGAAAAAAGTCAGATTTGTATATCTTGAAAATTTAAAAAAGAAAACTCTGAATAATAAGGGGCTTCTCACAAATTTCCTTTTGAATTATAAATAATAAGCATAACGTAACAAATGACACTACCCTATAATTATTGACTAGCAAGAAATATGTGATGGTATAAGAAAACAATGAAATAAAACAGAACGTAAAAGAAAATAATATCAGTGGCATTTTTAATAATTCTTGTTCTATAACAAGATTGAAACTTGTGAAACCCCCTTATCATTTAATGTTTTATTTAAAAAAAAAGTTTTTGGAAAATTTCTAGACTCTAGAAATTTTCAAGACCATCAAATAGGATTTATTATTTCAAAGACAATTCTAAACAAAATGATGATTTTTTTTAAAAAATGTTTTCCGCGCATGAACAGTATGAAAGGACTATTTTGAATGCTCATACCTAGCGCAATTTTGCAACAAATTTTAAAATATTTTTGCTATTAATTAAAATTTGCACCGAAAATTTCGTTTCATTGAATATTTTTTCGGTTATGATTAAAAAAAAAGCTATTTAAAAAACATCCATTTTTCCATTAATATTTAAGCCAAATTTCATACACTTATCGCATAAAATAATCGATACAAGCTGATTGCCTATTTTCTCGCTTAGGGTGTTTAAATTTTAGATCATGCAGTTATTCATATTTATCAATTAGCACCTCTAAAGTTTGAATAATATTTTTTTTAAAAATATATAAAAAATTTTTTTAAATGTTCTCTCATTATTGTAGGGTTAGTGTATTTATAATTACTAAATAACGGATTGTTGTAAAAGACGTTAGAACATTTTATCAAAGAATGATAAAATTAATACTGCGATGATATATACGTCGGTGATATAACTGAAAAATACTAGCCACCACATAATTCAAAACCGATGAAGATTACGAAATCGTTGTCCAACATGAAGTAGTTTAAAGAACTGGATCTTGGCACTAGTCGAACTCAGAAGCCAATCGGGTTCGACACATGCGCGTGACGTCGCTTTCAGGTATTCAATCCTATTAAA